TACAAACACATTTGCCAAAACGTTGTCTGTTTTTATTTTTCTCATCTAAAAATTTCTAAAAATATGTGAGTAAATGTGTATCGATGTTTATTGCGGTGCAAAATGTGCGTCAAATTTTAAAAGTTTTACATAGATGCCCTCATAAGTACTTACATCAAACGCATCGTTTCAAGCTCGCAGGAAGATAAGTATAATCACAATCGTAACGTAATTCTAAAGCGTTGATAAGTGTTTCTTCCATACTTCAAGTTCTTCGTATTCACGTCTATCTGCCTCCTTTTCTCTTCTTCTTAAAGAGGCCTTCATTTTCTTAACAGTGCTTACCTATCAGTTGGCAGCAAGTGGGCGGTCGAAGCCTATCAACTCTGTCGCTGTACCATTTGTATGAGTAATGCGTGCAAATTTTGTCAAAAAAATTAACCTGAATTGAAGTCTAAAGTTTCTCCACAAAATTTCTACCTAGTTTCGAAGCGACTTATTAGGTGCCAAGTAATTTTTTTTACCTCGGCATTTTTAGATTTTTTACAAAACCAAAACAAAATCAGTCTGGTTATAAATAAAAAATAAACACTTTTAGTTCCTTTAGATTCTGCAACGCCTAAAAATTAATTGCTGTTTGCGTTTTAATCCATTCTATTCCATATTTGTACAATATTTATTTTCTAGAGTTGTAGCAATTTTAGTTAGACCTTCACTTGCCTTATCTTCCAAGATCTTCATCTAAATCAGGCTCCATACTGGTTGTTCACAATACTGGCGACAAAGCTGAAAATTCTCTTCTTAAATATCATGCTATCATAAGCACATTAGTATAGGGGCAAATCTCACGTGTTGTTTTTCTTAGTATCCCTTCCTTCTGTCGGCAGGAAAAAAACGCTAAAGCATTCTTCTTGCACTTACATAAATCAATGGAGTTCCAGAAATAAGTACAATGAAATATGAATTAAGTATTCGAACCAGTTTAGCCTTAGAACATTTATTTAGGCGCAAAACTACAGAAATTACTAATTTTTCATGGACACACGAAAATATCGGAATTGTTTTTTTAATAACGAAATTAAAAAAAAAATTGCAGCATGCAGAATATCTCTCGCAGCTATTTGGCAATTTTTTTAAATTTGGCGATTTTGTTCTCATTTTAATAATTTTAGATACTTCAAAATGTTCAAAGTAAACGGTGAAAATGTTCTTTTTGCTAAAACGAACGAATTTATAATGATAAAAACATAAGATCATTGAGAGGCAGTCTGAATATAAAAGTTCAAAGCTCAACCTCACACACTTATCATCATTTTCGATCTCTAACATTAGCAGTTGTGAACAATTTAATTTTTTAACCGACTTCACAAAAAGGAGAAGGTTATCAATTCGTCGGAATATTTTTTTTTGTATGTAACCGCATAACCTTGGACCTCGGTAACCGATTTCTATGATTTTTTTTTTTACAAGAAAGGAGTTTAAATCCGATCATTGGATCATGCAAAAATTAACGATAATCTTAAAGTTGTATATGAGAATTGAAATCGGTTTTGTTTTTTGCTTTAAAATTACTTGTTTATTTTCAACATTATATGATTTTAAAATGCTTGTAAACTTCAAAAAAAAATCATGGCCGACGAATTGAGAGAATGAATTTACCTTGAAATGTTTTGATCATGGAATTTAGTGTAATAAAACTCGTATGTCACCAAATGACCAAGAACACATCGAGTTAAATATTACTGTGATTCGAAAAACTAAAATTCCATTTTAATTAGCAAACTCGAAATTATTCTAAAATTGGTATATATGTGCATTCGATGACCATCCGTACCTTACTTCAGAAGACAGTTCTTTTTCCCATCATGATGCCATTTGGCTTTAATTTTGTCCTTTTTTTCAATACTTGTCATTTAAAAAGACTTTTTTCCAATACGATGTCAGACATAATGCATTTCATATGTTATAACCTATTAGATACAAACTTTGAAAAAAGGACAAAAATGTCATACAAATTTAAAAACTCATCCTTGTAATTTGCCGCATCGGGGCGAGTGCATTCACCATTTTTATTAATGTAGTAGAAAAAAGAAAATAAAGAATGTGCAGATTCGCGGCAGGTATTCACCAAAACTAAGTTTAAGTTACGTTGACTGCTACTCTATACAGGAAATTTATTCGACTATCACTAGCGTGGCCCGCTGTGTACCTTATCTTATTTTCCCGTACACAGATCAGAAGGTTGTGAATACTCAAGGATTTTTAGTGCGCTTGGCATAGATAAGAGATGCTTTTGCCAGGACGACCAATAAAAAGAGATCTAAGCCATAGTTTGTTTGAAGATAATTTGCTTGATGGCATGTGGAGTAGGATTGAATGACTACCGATTAATTCCTTTCCCTGCCACCTCTTTCGCAATTCTATTTCTAGAGATATTTCTGTGCCTAGGAACCTGGATTACATTCTTTCTGCTCTTGAATTGCTGCCTTCGAAAAGGCATTGCTACAGTGTAGATATTGGGCTTGATGCATGAAAAGTGAGCTTAAGCTCCGACTCGATTTTCAGTACAAGTTCTTGAACTTGAACTCACTTCAGCTTATGTGGCACCACAGTAGTCTGGTAGATGCAAGCTAATACTTAAAAGTAACTTGCTATTCCGAATGCATGATGTTGCCCACTTTATGATTTAGCTTAGAGCTATCGCTAAAACTTGAACTGGAACTATAGTCTAGCTTTTACGCTGTACATTTCGCTCCCAACGGGAATTCTTTTCGAAAAACTTACTTTCCAAGCAGGAAAGTATGATTTTTGCCTAGTACCATTTCAGTTAGACTGGAGTTTGTCGTTAGAAGATTATTTTTAAATAATATGACCTTTAAGTTCAGGCGTGCGAGTAAACGTGTACGATTCCTGCGTATGGTGCAACGGTGCGTATACGTTACATAAGCAACTACGGGTATATGAGCATGAGTGGTTGTAGTTTGGTTCCTCAACTTTTCTGGACAAAACCTGTAAAACTGTCAAAAAGCAAAATTGCTCTCAGAGAAAGAGAGAAAAAAAAGTACGGGATCGCATTGCGGGTAAAAACTGGTAAAACTGTCAAATACACCCTGGGCGCCATTTTTCGTTTACATGGCAGTGTTTTATCATTTGGCGATCTGGTAAATTATACGCAAATACACAAGAAATTAACAAAAATACTTTCAGAACTTGATATTTCTTCGTTACGATGTATTTTATAGGGTGAAAATTCAGATGTACTTTTGCTTTTGCTTATTCAACTTTCAAATCGTTTGAACAGCTGATGGTTTGACAACTTTACCAGCAGAAATTCTTAGGGTAAAATCTTGCAACTTCTTCCAAAGATAGGACCAATTTTACTCTCAAATTTTTCCCCTACTTTGCCAGATAACCGAATAAGGGAACGCAAATTATTTACTTTTTTTACTACCTACATATATATGTAATGTAAAATACGTTTTTGTCGAAAAATGTAAAAAATCATGAGATTTGCTCATATACATTCATGATATGTACACATATATATTCCTATTACCATTTAAATTCACTGCGCTTATTAAACGTGCAATTTTAAAATTTTTTCTTACAAGTTTTAATTTATTTAGTTAAATAAATCACAAAAACAAGATTTAATGCCACGACAGAAATAATTATAATTAATTTTTAATGCGTTGTCCAACCCCAGAAAAACAAAATCAAAGAAAAAACTTTTGAATATTATAGTTACTTTTCTGCAAAAAAAAAGAGTAAAAGCGTAGAGTAAAATGTGCATCTGTGGAAAACTTTGTGCTGCAGCCAAAGTTTTGTGACACCAAAAAGTTGCTGTATAGTATCAACTAAAAGCTCAAAAAAAAAAGATAAACAAAAAAACAACAATAAAGACTTTTTAATCAGTGAGAAGTGCAAACGGAACTTTATAAACCTGGCGTACGTATCTATAAAAGATCCACTTTTCTCTTCGTCTTAATTGGCGTTCTAACCGCGCAAGCGATTCAGGGCGAGTCCAACAAAGCACGCCAGTTGTTATTCCACTGTGCCATCTTACACCAACTGGAAATGGCAAGTGAAGCCAAATCCTTCTACACTTGATTTTTTCATCGCAGAAAAGACATTCATTTGGAAAATACGTCAAAACTATCTAAACCTTTTGTAACTACTATTCATTATAACATTACATATATTTACCCGTAAAACGCTTAAAAAAATTGTTTACTAGAAGTGTGCAAAACCCTTGATTTACTACTTTTAATGAGAATCCTCCTTGTAGTGAGCATATTTTGATCACATATACTGATTAAGTTGGTGGAAATTTTTTTAAAAAATAAATATAAAAAATATAAAAATTAAATAAAAAATAGAAAATTTACCTTAACTGGTCCAAATATCACTTAACTTAATCAGCTGACCACAAGTGTATGTGTAACGAACATATTATTAAATTTTATAAGGTTAATAAAATCTTAACTGAAAACTACTCAAATTAAGTAATTTTCTATAATCCATTTTATTTATGTGCATATATTTTTTTGATTTATTTTATTCTGAACATGATATACTTAGTACATGTAAACAAAAAAATTATAGACATTATATAGAGACAAAAAAAATAGCCAAAACTGTTCAAATGTCACTTAGCTTATGCTTTAACAATAATGTATATTTATTAATAAGAACCAAAATTTTAATACAATTTAACTAATAATTTCTATCCTTCTGATTAAATTTCTTTTCATACTTCGTCCTTGAAATTGCATACATTAACCGGACAAAAATTTTACACATGCAAATGGGCTTCACAACTCGGTCAACATTGTCATGGTCAATGTCAATAATGTCTGAAATACGATATCAATGGCGGCATTACAACATCATTCTGCTTCTAACAACAAACAAACAAACAAAAAAAAAAACCTGCCACTCTGAATGCTGCCAACAACGGCATGTGGGCAATGGCATCGCAAACTGACAAACATGGCGAATATTTGTGTGAATGAACACAGATCCACCACAAGTGACACTGTCGTTGGGCTCAACACTCAAACCGGATGACATTAAAGAAGGCGATGATGTTTACTTTGAGTGCCATATAAAGGCCAATCCAAAGGAACATCGCATTACGTGGTCACATGATGTGAGTTTTACATATGCATACGAGTACATACATAAATGCCCTTTTATGAACATACATACATACATACATATACATATATGCACGTGGATTTCCTTATATGTAGATGCATACATACTAGAGTGGTTCAAAAAACACTATTCTGGGAAATTTAAAAACGCTACACCAAAATATTATTCTTTGTGATAAAAAAAGAGACACGTATTTTTGTATTTTGGAAAAAAAGTTTTTGGGAGGTTGTTGTTGTTGTTTAAACAGCACACAGAATCCCAAAAGAGTACCTGGGTCATTCCGGTTACGTAGACCCGACTGTTTTGGTCGCGCTGGTCGGTTTTTATAAAAAAGCTGATGTAGGTACTAAATTTTTTTCATGTTATGTTGAAATGCAGCTAAAAATATTGTTTTCACATGTAATTACTCAAGCATGGTTGGAGAGCATTGCCTTAATTACATACCTGTATTGGACAAATGGAAAATATGCTTTCGAAAAGAGACTACTAAAATTAAGTCGTTAATACTGAACGGTTTACGCATTTTCATGGATTGAAACTTATTACCAGGGGGTTTATGGGATTGCTAATTAGGAATCTGAAGTCAGTTTTACAAATTAAAAATGGCGGATCCCCAATGGCTATTGGATTTGTTCAAAACTCGGCACTCGGGAGTTTTTGGGGACGCTGATTACGTCAATTTTTAATTTCAAAATGGCGGATCCAATAAATAAAAAACCGACCAACACCACCTCCTAAAAACTTCTTTTTAATAAAAAAATAAGTTTTATTTTTATGACGAATAACAGTGATTTGAGGTAGCGTTTATAAATTAAAAGAAGAAAAAAAAAAAACAAAAGTTGTTTGAACCACTCTAATACATACATGTCGTCGCTTTAAATGCAAAAAATTGGTAACAACCGTCATCGTTGAAATGCAAAAGGTTATATCTAGTAAAAAATTCAAAACTTCACTTTTTGATTTGTATGATGGACTTCATCGAATTACAACTCCTCACATCATTTTATGAAAAAAAGTAAAATACTTGTCACAACTTTTTCCATTTCATTTACGATGTTGTTACGTCTTTTTGCATTTCAAGTGACGATATTAACGTTATATTTGCTCGATGGTTTTTCTGCGTTTTATTGCCAGTTTATGGTACGAATAGATTTTTCTTTCAGAAGTATGAAGTTAGCAATATTTAGTAATCAAAGGCCTAAATATGTACATACCTACCAAGGCGCATTTTCATGGAACATTGGGTTAGTTTATTCTTTAATTTGTGGCGTGCTTTTTGATATTTATGAAAGGATTTTTAATGCCAGAAGTACAGTGCCGAAGGGCGCTTGCAGTTAGAAAACCACTTTTGATCGAACCTGGGCATAAGAGTGGCCACGCACCTCTACCGATTTTGCTACTAAGCTTTTTTTAGAGCACAATAGATCTCTTGGTCGCAGTGCATACCTCTATTAATTATCTACTACGCTTTTAGCTCGTAGTTATTATAAATAAATGCTTTTACAGCTCTTAAAATAAAATGTAACATAAAGTTATAGATTTCAACAAAAACGCCAATATTCAGGATGAACTCTTGCACGTAACTTTATGTTACAATACATCTGAAAATACAATCAAAAATTAAAAATCTCTATTTTTTTGTTGCTAGTGTGACTGAAAAAATGTCAGCGACTTGCTTTTCACGTAACAATAATAACCAAAATTAATTTAGCTGAAGCCTGTGTTAAAAATATACAAAAATTCTAACTACTCGATTAGGCTTTACAGCAGCAAATCCTGTATAATAGCGTACGTTCTGGACATCAGTCACTAGATCGCCATGGGTGCTCTTGCAGAAGGTGGCCCGTGTCTTGAAATCTACCGTAAGTCGCCTAATCCTCCCGATAAAATTTTTGGGCATTTTTACTGCCGGACAACATCGCAAGCTCTACGCACTCACGTAACTCAGGCTTCTGTCTCGCTTCTCTATACCGCTATAGTTCCCTATAACCATCCCACATGGCTATCATTGCGCCCAATGCACATTGTGGTCCTGTAGGCAGCATATATATACATATTCTCTGCAGCATATCTCTGACTACTTCCTCGGTAGTGGTACTTACTGGGCGAGAAATGTGGTTCCACTGCTCGCATATGTCGGTTTCTCAAAAACTGCCCTCAGCGAGCAGGAGTGGGAGTCTTTGCATTGTCGACAGCACAGAGGGCGCATATCTTGGCTGCAACAAGATAGTGGTCTAAGTTGATGTTCGGCTCTCGGAGTGTACATAGTACATTACAAGCCCGTCGATTCGTGCCTTCCGTCTATCACAACATGGCTGATTTGGCTTCTCATTTTTTGACTTGAAGCTATGTAGCTTGATGGATCTTTTTATGCTGGAACTAGGCACTAATATGTATCGGGTTCCAGCGAATGTCCGTTATCGGACATATCGTCATGGAGTCTGAATTTTCCGACAGTAGCGCCAAAGATTCATTCTTTTCCAACCAGTGCATTGAAGTCAACAAGCAAGATATTGATATCGGGGCGGGGGCAGCACTCATAGAAGAGATCCTTGGACGCCTCGTCCTTCTCTTTCGCCGGTGCATTGGCGCAGCTGAGCGAAATGTTGGAGAATCTCTCATTGATACGGATTGTGGCTAGACGTGGGGCCACCCCTGGTGAATGACAGTACTCGGCGACGGAGTCTCTCTTCAACCATAAATCTAGCTGTAGTAGACACGTTTTGTGCTTTTCCCGTCCAACGCATTTCTTGGATGGCGGTGATGTAAACCTTTGTCGTCATGAGACAGAGGCAGCTTTCCCATTAAGTATCCGAATATTCCAGGTGCATTCTCTCAAATCATAGTCCTTTAAACATTTGCCGTGTTCGTCATCAAAAGAAGGAGGTCTCATCCGAGGCATGTTGTTTGTTTGCATGGGGCGGGGTAATTGGTAGTCAAAAGCTTTACCCAACGTGAACTTCTGCACACGAAACCATCCTCTACTAACACTGGTATATCTTCAGTGATTGCAATTATTTGTCCACCCTCTGCATTCCAAAGTATTGGAACGAATGCTTGTAGTATGCCAAGGGAGATCAATACCCGGTTGGCGCTATACACACTTGTGAAGATTCACTTGTCATAGAAGACAGAGAGAAAACATGAAATATTAAGTATATACATACATAAGTAATTGTAAATGTAATACGGGTGGAAAAAGCAGCTAGAATTAGCAAAAATAATTGCAGCAAATTCCTGGAAAATATTTTGTTCCGAAATTTAGTAAAAAGGCAATAACTATATATATAATAATAATTTTATAAAGATATTTCAAATATAAAAGCTTTTTTCTTAAAACGTAATCAACAATAAATCACCTTGACTATGGAAAACCTTTCTCTGATAAAAAGCTTTTAAAGCACTCACTCTTCACAAATAAAACGAAAAATGACTCGAACTCACAGACTTTACTGCAACACAATTGCTTATGCACTAACGTATGAGCTCTAAAAGAATACAAATAGGTACAAGTACATATATATATATACATACATACACATCTACGTACATATGTAATAGCTGCAATCCAGTATTCGGTCCACACGAACGCCAGATGAAACACACATAAAGAAAAGACTAAAAAATGCTTAATAATAAGAGGCGCAAATACCACGACGAATGCAATTTAACCGCCCACCCACAGACCTGAGTAAGCTGCTCACATTTCGTGCGTTGCCGCTGCTTCCTATTTGTTTTTGTTTTTGTTTTTTTTTTTTTTTGTCACATATTTGGTTTTCGGTGTCGGAAAATAACTACTCACATTTTGCCTACGGGTAAAACAGCTCGTATAAATGCAGTTATTATTCATTTTATGACAAATTTCCAGTGCATTTTCATGGGAGCAAGAAGCAGCTCACACTGGGGCACACAAATGCAGCACTGACATGTGCTTTCATACCATGCATGTGTACATTAGGGTGATCCACAAATGCATGTGAAAAAAGTAGAGACCGAATTTTAAAGCACTAACTGCCTTGGATTATTTTATATCGAAAAAAAGTACACCTGTTTTTTTCCGAAAACGAAAAATATTTTTTGGTCGCTCAAAGCGCTCAAAGTTTTCCGTGTATTTTATATGGCTATACATTTATTATTTTTCGTGAAAATGGTATAGAATTCCTAAAAATCCATATTTTGTTTCTCTTCAGGTGACTTCTAAGAATAATACGAAATTGCTTATTTTAAAACTTTTTATTACAAGCAACTTATTATGGGTCTCCAAATTGCGCTTTTTCTGGTTTTAGTGGACTTATAAAAACACTTTTTACCAAAAAATGGTTAAATAAACAGTTGGGTATTATTACTGGAAGTCTCCTGAAGAGAAAGAAAGTTTTAAAATCGAAAAACATTGGTTTTAACGAAATGTTTTTTTTAATTTCACATAATTGTTTCGATATAGAACAATCCGAGGGGCTAAGGGAATTAAAATTTCGACTTTACTCTTTTTTGCCACCCTAATGTACATAAATACGAATATAAAAATGTCCATACATATATGTATGTATGCAGGGAAATGCAACTGTGTGCGCATAGCTGAAAGCTGCGTTATATTAACGGATGTGCACGTATGCCTTTGAAGTCGGTTGCCAGCACTATCGGCTGAACGTGCATACATATGTATGTATGTATGTACCTATGTAAATAAAAAAATAAGTATAGATTTTACACATTTGTTAAACACACCTACATAGTGTTTACTGGCTCACATCCATTCCTTCGTATGTTTTTTTTTAAGATATTTTAAATGCCATCGTCCCTTGAGTATTTTTCATAAACCCACATGTTTCTTTATTTTACACACATATGCGTCGACTCTTGTATAAGCATGCATATTTATAGACGCGTATTTGTATTCTTGTATTTATGCATTTATATTTATTTTCATTTGCGGTGCTGTTCATATGCAAAAATTGTTTGCGCAAATCATAACAACGAAATGACAACACAACAGTGGCAGCTCGAAAACAAATAAAAAAATATATAAACAATAGATGCTCATACTGCTACTGATGCAATATACCTATGTATGTGCACTTACATATATATGTATAGTATATTCGAGTGTATTGCAAGTATCTAGTATAAACATATCTTAATAATATAGAGGACTACAATTTCAAAACTTAAGTTTTTATAAATTTTATCATACAAGTAGTAAGCTTGATAAGCAGAAATGTTCAGTTTAATTACTAAAATTTATGAAAAAAAAATCAATTTTTTTGACCAATTACGACGTGATGGACATTTGCGCCACTTTAAAGCACATAGCTGTTTTTAAACACGATTCAAATTTGCTTTTGGCGGTATGGAATCGTATGCAATTCGTACATAATATTGTCGTTAGGCCTAGATGCAATATACAGAAGTTGGGGACTCGATCAGTCCGGTGCTCCTATAATGTAATGAAAAATGGCCAGAAACACTTTTATTGGATTTTTGTAATGAAAATTAATGCTAAGTGGTGAGTGGACACGTATTTTGTACAAACCATGAAATTGCCAGGATGAGAACTGTTTTTTCGGTCAGCGTATGAACTTGACTCCATGCACTTTTTCAATGTTTCGATGGGTGATTTCCAATGAAAGATTGTATATACAAGAAATAATTTCATTTGTATACATTATGGAAATTTGCATAAAATACTAAATTGCAAGGAGGATGGTTCCGTGCACAGAAGTCCTCGTACGTGGGGAAATTTTTTGACAGCCAATCACCTGGGAGTGACCAGAAGTGATTCTTATGAGCACGGTTCGCATCGCAGCTTACAACAACTGGATATTTATATCGACGTATCCTCTGGTAAGAGACCAAATACCCGTTTGGAACCGAGCTAAAGTGAGAAGGCGCAAAACTTCGCGTGCGCTGGGTTTGGGTCCCGCCACGTTAAAACCCCGCCCAATGAAAAGTGAGAAAAAGCCTCCGATAAGACCCCCTTTTTTGACTACGACCACGGCAAACGTATAGAGGGACTTTGGTTTGAGGGTATTCACCTGGAATATCCGGACCCTTTATGGGGAAAGTGCATATATCCACTGCTGGATATTGTAGTAAAATACCAGGCTGACATCATCGCAGTTCAGGAAATGTGATGGACGGGGCACGTAAAAAAAAATTGTGTACGATATCTACTACAACATCATAGCAAAATTTAGCAGCATATCAGCGTTTCTATGAGTGCCTAGAAGCAGTGCATAAGTGCTGTCCCCGCCGCGATGTTAAAATTGTTCTTGTCGACTTTAGCGTCAAAGTGTGCAAATCGCAACCTAGTTACAGGGCAAGGTTCTCACGCGCCTTTTTGCAATAGAGTGCATCAAGGAATACGCCAAAATTTCGACATCGACATGATGTATTTACGTCGGCTATCCGAGAAGTTTCACTTTCGGCTCTCTACCATGCCAAATCAGACAACTCCTCTTCGTCTGAATTAGTATATGAGCAGTGAGATACCATGCCCCAGTAACTTCGTAGTGGATGTTACCAACCACGCATACAAGCAACTTGAGGAAAAGAGAGAGATATATGATTCCCTGGCTGAGCTGCTCGAAGTCGGCAGCGATGAGCTGGAAGGAAGTGGGTACTAGTTTTTCAGCAGAAATTGCTATTTTCAAACACATCCGATAATTGGAATCTCAGTGTGCTTTGCGCAATCCACAAAAAAGGAGATACCGTTAGTTGTTCCAATTACTCCATATTATTTAGTTCTTGTGAAACAATTGATTGGACCTTATAAGTGTAGCTTCAGACGTGAGAAATCCACCATCAAGGCGACTTTCACAGTTTGCCAGATACTGAAGAAGCCATTAGCAGTTCGACATACGCCATTCTTATGTCGATATTTTGTCCCGTTTTGATGAAAAGAAAGTTAGTTGTTACAGGAATGAAATGCATGTCTAATAATAATTTCTTGTAATCGAAAAAGGAATACGACTATATAGAGTGAGATTGAATATACTGAGTGGAACGAGGTGCAGAGCGATGGGGTAGAGATCTGTACCCAAGTGTATTTCAAATGATCCAATATAGTACGCCACCACTACCAGTGCTGAGGAGTTTCTAGGGCTGAACGCTATCGTAATCCCAACACTGAGCTCGGGCTCACACATTGTTGAATTTTTATTGATGGTTTCAAAACTGACCAGCATCTGGTGTCCATATCGAAAGTAATTGCGACGGGCTTCACTTTTATCTAGGCATGTTCCCTCCATATACCTCGTAACCGTTAAATGCAATACCACGTATAAGGAGGCATAAAAATGCATTTATTTTGGTTAAACTATCTCAATGCTTCCGAACTTCACAAATTATAGTAGAAGCTCGTATTTTGTTTGCTAAGTTAGAAAACTATCCAAAAGTTTTGAAGAAAATAACTTTCTTTAGTCGTTTGTGAAATTTTCACACTATCTTATATGTAAGTATGTATGTGGTATTGCATTAAGCGTATGCACGGTATTGCGCCTCAAGCGAACATTTACAGTACCCAAGATCATGGACTATGGTTTGAGGGTATGCACCTGGAATATGCGGACCCTTTATACCACGTGTTCTGTAATCTCAGCCAAGCCACCCTTAAAACATTGGCCGGCCTACTAACTATTTCCTAACAAATGCTCAAGCTCAATTAATTTGTGTTGGAAAATATAACGCGCTTGTTTCACTATGAGCAGAAATTTGCATCAGCTAGATTTTAAAAATAATAAACATGTCTGATCAGAGTTTAAATGTATAATTGAAATGTGAATTTCTCTAAAATCTTTTAGCTCTTTTTTTATTCAGTTTTTACTTTTTAAAAATAATTCTTTTATTTCAGGGTATTCCTGTCACGCAGAATGTCTCGTGGGGCATCATCATTTCTACTCGTTCGCTTGTTCTACAACGTGTTGCACGCGTACATGCTGGTTTCTATGCGTGTGCAGCGGCCAACGACCGCGGCGAGACACAAAGTTCAATGGTGAATTTGCGAATACGCTGTAAGTGCCAATCACAATCACTATTACGATATATGTATATATATAGAATTTAAAATTTTCTGTCGTGCGTATTCTAGTTCTTATTCATAATTTGCATAAATGCGTTAAAGTGATTGCAAAAATGTAAATTTACTTAGTTACCATTGAAGAGTTGCAAACGAATATGCCTCTATTTGAAATATCACACAATTTTTGGTTGTATTGCAATCGATTGGAAAGTGTCACATTAAAATGCATGTAACACTATTTAATACGGCCAAATGAACAGTGTGGTGACATGTTCGTTTGCATTTTAGCACAGCTATTAGACTCGATTAGACGACGGCGCATACAATGTGAATGCCATCAGCAATAAATTTTCCTCTCACAATAGATATTTGTTTCAGGGCGAGTGTGTTTATTTTGTACATGTGTATGTATGTATGTTGTATGGGCCGTGAGCTCAGCTATATTGCCAACCAGCGAATGCCATAAAGGGTCAGTGACATGTACTGTAATTGCGAACGTTTGCTTCCTAGCGAACGTGTGCTGGTTGAGGACGAATTTACCAACCAAATATTTCGAATTCAAATTAATATGATTTTTTTTTTATGTATGTAATTATATGTATATATACATAAATATTTACATACATATGTATGTAGTTATGCATGTAGCTTTGATTACTCTTGCTGACTTTCGCAAAACTAAAAAACCAAACTAACCCAGTAATAGTGAGGGTTACTGTGTAGTAAATTAATTTTCACTACTTTTTAAGAAACTCGAATATGTAAAAATGAAAGTTTTGGGAAATCAAGTTTGAAATTTTTTTTACGAGTCTTAGCTCTACATTTATGCAATTTAAATTGGAAACTATGTGATTTCCTTGTACGCATGGTATTGCGGGTTTTGGTATAACATAGAACATCCAAATGTTAATCAAGTCAACCCAACTCAACTCAAAACTGATAAATTTGCACATTCGTGCTTCTGGCATAAGAAGGGTGACGACGATATGTACATAAATATACATTTGTACATATATGTAATCACATAGGAAATTTTAACAAACGTTTTCGTCGACTCGTTGTTGCATATCACGGATGTGGCAATAATGTGTCATTTCGAGAGTAAAGTGCATTATTTTGCAAAAATGACAGCGTTAATATTAGAATTTTCTGATTTTCCACCACACTAACCAAATGCTGCAGGAAACAATTACAAAAATAGCAACAAAATTACGCACATGCATACAATTTTGAGTTGAATTTGTTGTTTGAATAATAATATATTAAATATATAAATAACTTCACTTATTACATTTAGGTATAAGTACTATATGTAAGAGCATCAAATTGCAAAAACTACATTTGAATACAAAATTTGAATTATTAATTTAGACAAATGTGTTTTTGGTGGCTTTGCATGCCCTGCGGCGAAAAATACTGGGCATTATGTAATGACTTTTCTGGTTTTTGATGTACTTAAATGAGTAATGATTGAGTAAAAACAGATTATCTATTTCGTTATTGTATGTCCATTACCTGCTTTGTATATTGTTCTAAGATTACATACCTTTAAAATTACCTTGAAATGTAAGGTTTATCAATTTTTGTGTGTGTTTTTCCTAAAACTGTTATCTCTTTAAAAAAGTTTTAAGTGTATTTTTCGGTTCTTGCTGCCGTGGAAATTGATTTCTTGACGCAAGAACAGCAAAAAACAAATAATAGCTTTCTAAAAACTTCTTTGCTTACAGTTTTCAGGTCAAAAAGGTGAGACATTTGAAAACCGCCTACCTTTGAAGGTCATCCTAAAGAACAGGGTAATTTTTCTTTCAACGGGACTACATTTCCTGAATTCTTTATCCCAAAAGCATTAAAATTACGTTACATCTAGTATTTGGTAACTTCTCATAATTTTATAATTTACCAAAAAATTATATAGTTGTCTATTAAAAGTAAGTAAATATTTGACTCCCATACCCTTTAAAGTGTTGCTCTGCGTACGATCTAGTGTGACTGTGTGATGTTATTAGGCATGGTTTCCTGTAATAAGTATTTAAAAAGGGTTATTTTGATGTTGAGTGAAGCAGTCATTTTCTGCGACGCACAATGGGGCCGCTACATAGAGGGCGATTCTCAAAACTCATTTTTCGGAAGTCGGTATTTAAAATACAAAATATGTACCAGCACAGTCATAACAAAGTGCATTATTAAAGGATGTTTTATAATATTTAAGGTTACTATTAGGTTAGAAGGAACTATGCTGTTGGAGAAACAACGTGTGTTGATTGTTTAACAACTTTTCATTATTACACATACGATTTCATTGGTTTCGGAGGTATAAGGAATAACTTGTAAGGTTTTTTCTCTGAGTCTTTTTTAGTTATAACCGCTAGACTTTATTTATAAGTAAACTTAAAAGATTTGCACAAGTACTTTGCCAATTTTTTAGAAAAAATATGTTTTACCGTCTGTATTTATGATTTACTTCCATTCTGATAAATTCCCAAGTAGCACATTGTTGTATAACTTGGTTTAAATTTACGCATTTTGGTATAAATCTGATTAATTGCACCAAAATTCACAAATTTACACCAAGTTATAGATCAGTGTGCTACTTGAATTTTATTCCAGACGTAAACCATTTTTCTATTAAAAATCGCGATTTGTGTAAATTAATATTTAAAAGCCCTTCTAAGCTATTACAGAGCGAGTTCAGCCATGTGGAAGAATATATTTCAAACCGCAGCGGTCTAGCCTCAAAAAGAAAGAAGCTGCAACAATATTTTGGACAATTTCAAGAGTAGCGTTACAATAAAATGAAATATTTGCGCTAGACACAAAAACCAATTTTATGAATCCGAAAAATACGGATGAGAAAAACTCGTAAACAATATCCAGTGGATTTAAAAAAGATAATATAAATTTCAAGTCGCTGTATTTTGATACTGCGGAACTGTGTGACAGCCTTTATCCCTGGAAAACAGTGACAACAACAGTGGACAAAATTTTAATGCATAGTGCCGAAATTATATTGAATTTCCTTTCACCGATTGAGCAATTAAGTGAAGAGGATAGGCATCGCGAACCAAAGAATTTAAAGCTTATCGTGAACGGTTTAGCCGAAAAACCTTAAGGCAAGCTAAACTTGAAGACGTATTTCCCAGTCCAAATGTTTTTTCCGATCCTCTTATAAGAAGTGTTTACAAACCGTAAGAAACAACATTTGGTCCAGAAGTAAAAGACATGCTTTAAGAAGAAAATTTTGAGTATACACATACTGAATCTCATGCCTCTGAAGATTAATTAAATTTTCATCATGCATTGTACCGTTTTCTCAATGTCTATATTGCAAGTAATCTTAGTGTACAATGATTTTATTTTTCAGTGCTAAGAACACGAACGGATTATCTGTTTTTATTCTTTTTCACTTAATATTTTTCAATTTAATAACAAAAAAAATTGTAAAACAGTGTTAGTGCACAAAGCAGTGTTTTAAATTTATAAAAATTATACAATATTTCTCTTTTGGATTTGCCTACAGCATTTTTAGGAGAAAAACCCGTTTACAGACTTTTGAGCATCAACTTGTATGAAGCGATCCATTGTGCGACGTACAGAAAGAATAGTTAGCTTGAACCAATTTCGCTGAAATTTGGCATGTGCTCTAATTTTTCTTATATCTAGGGAATTATTCAATATGGCTATTGCCATGCCAGGTATTTCTTTTCTGTACCAACACACGCCAATTGGAAATGTCAAATGAAGTGAAACCCTTCTCCGTCACAGAGACGGTCTTCCTCTTGCCCTGTTACCAGCATCACGATCCGTGTTGTATATTTACATAGCAGGAACATTTCTATCCGACGAAATGATTTACGTTTTTCCTTTTATTTTCTATTATTGGTCACTTTTATGGATAGTTGTTAACTGGTTGTTCGAAAACGGCTTAAAACCCTGAATCGATTTCAATATTTCACGCACAAGAGCAGACTTTTGAAAGTAATTTACATAAATAAATAGCAGTATCCTATGAACTACGAATTATCCTTTATTAAATAAAAACAAACCTAATTACAACACGTTCAACAGTGGATGTTTTGCCAGAAATTTGGCCATATTTAACATAGCGATACGTTTCTCTTACTACTCAGAAGCTTAGAGTTTTGGTTTCCGAGCAAATGGCATGCGGCTTTCAACTTAACGCGCTTACATACATACTATGTTCATCCAATGAAAATACATACAATTTTCCACTTAACTCATCCTCAGTTCGAGTTAACCTGCCACCAGTTAGCTTTAACAAATAACGTAAAGCAGAATATTTAATAAAACCATTGCGAAATTTTATGTAAAAGCTGAAATAGCTATAAACGTTCTAAAATATACAACATGTCATAATTGCAAGCGCACCACACAATGACTCGTTTAAATAATTAATTTTCGTAATTTAGTTTAATTTTTTTTTATAAAAAAATAGTCTATCCTTTACCGAAAACCGTATAAACGCCGGTTTAAAATTTTGTGCAGTTACTATTGAAGTAAAAAATAATAAATCACAAAATTTCGTGATTTCTAATTAAATTTTATAGAAAGAATTTGAATATGCAGTCATTCAATTGTAGAAAAAAAATTCAACTTTAAATTAGGTTTCCCAAAAAGGTTGTGAAATTCATTTTTGTAGCCCATTAAGTTTAAGTTAAAGTGCGATTTGAAATAATTAAGATTAATCGTTGATCCTTGGCAAACTTTTTTGTTGCCCGTGGTGGGCATTTTTTCCATAAAAAGTATGTAAGTTCGACTATTTTTTAATATTGCAAAAATGAGCTATTATTTTTACAAAAAAATAACCGATTTACTTGTGATTTTTTTACCATTTTTTCTTAAAGAATAAACTATATTTTTATAAATAATAACTAAAATTAAATAGCCAAAATATGAATTGTCAAAACTTGTAAATATGTGTTGCGCATATAATTGTGACACGGAGTGTATGTATGTATATGGCAAACCAACCAA